GACGACAAAACCGCAAACACCAACGAAAACACTTTACCAACCGAGTGTGTTCACGAAATACTGCTCTATTTAGTCGACGAAAAAGCCACTTTATTTGCCGCAGCGTTAGTAAATCGAACTTGGTGTCAAGTTGCTATTCCACTCATCTGGTCAACTATTACGAGCTTCAACAAAAGTCTAATCGAGACTTTTATTAAATGTATGAACGATGATGAACGCGAAACGATATTAGCATTTGTTAAATGTTTGAATGATGAAAGACGCGAAACGATATTTGAATATTTTGAGCCAACTTACCCATCACCACTTTTCATGTATACTTCATATATTAAAAAGTTTAACTGGAAAATGTTAGATTATCTTTTTACCGTTGAGGTTTACATCGCTGAACATGAAAAATCAATTTGGAAAAGCATATTACAAATAACAGATAAACATGGGAAGGAAAATTTAATTATGCAAATGGTTACTCAGACATGTGCACTTATTTTCAGAACTGCTAGCTTAGAAAAGTTTGTGATTGAGCTACAAAGCACTCGATATATACCGGCATTTGCTAAGCTTCCTAATGCTTCTGTCGTCTTCTCAAAATTGAAAGAATTTCGTTTGTTGCTTGGACATAAGAGTCACGTGATGATTGATTATGCTTCATCATACAGTCGAGATTTAATATGTTGGATAAATTCGGTTTCTTTTGATATCAGACATTTGGCAATTGATCTGGATATATGCGATAACCATCTGGTAAATCTGATAAAAATGCAAAATCAGCTAGAATATGTTAGTATTACAGGCATTAGCGGTGATCACCTTTCCGTTATTCACGCTCTGCAGACTCAAGCAAATCATCTTGTAGGACTTGAATTTGAAAACATGATTTTGTCTAATTGGACAACATTATTGTTAAGCAATCTTTATATTTTTACGAAATTAAAGGCACTAGCGTTTAGTAATTGTAGATTAGCATATAACGCATCTATTAGGTGGTCATTATTATCGCAACCTTTGAACTGTTTACGCAAGTTATATATTGATTACGATGGTGAAGATGAATTTATAGAAAAATTGATAGAAACTGTCGGAATAAATTTAGAGGATTTAACTATCACAAATTATTGTTCTGGAGCAACCTACAGAGCTATCGAAAAGCATTGCAAAAATCTTTTATCATTGCACGTCAATCATAGATTATCTGCTCAGTTATCATTACTTAGAGCGATCACAAAATTACAAAATTTGAAGCACTTTTCATTTGTAGACTCACTTAGAA